TTTCTCTGTCTTAACTTCCATGATAATATGAACAGTACTTTTTAATATAATTTTAATTATGTAAACGGTTTTTATTAATAATTTACTTTATAAATTGGCAAGATTTGTTCTTAAAATACCTCATTTTCATTGAAATTATTTTTAGAAAGATTCAAATTACTATTAAATGAACAGAAAATATATCAACTTCTGGTTATGTGGAAAAATATTTTACTTTCTATTTCTACAACAATAATAATTTTTTATTAAAGTAGGGTAACTGTCCCTATTAGTGTGCTTTTATATTTAAATAAGTCATAAAAATAAACTGGTACAAATAAATAGACAAAGTATTTTTTTTATTAAGTTAAAGTATTAACTTAATAGACAAAGTATATTTTTTATTAAGTTAATACTTTAACTTAATAAAAAAAATACTTTGTCTATTTATTTGTACCAGTTTACTTTTATGACTTGTTTAAATATAAAAGCACACTAATAGGGACAGGCACACTAATAGGGACAGTTACCCTACATCATTTTAACTAAAGAATCACGCAAGTTTTACTTCATTTCATGAAATAATAAAAAAATGGCAGCTTTTTCTTCGAAAAAGTGACGTTTCAAAACGGTAACTCATTTATAATTAATTTTCAATTGTTAAATAGTTTTTCTATTACATTGAGTAATATCGCTGGATTTGTAAGAAAATTTTTTCCAAAAAAAGTGGGGTTTTCAAAACATTTCTGATTTTATTCTTAAGAAAGATGTACAATTTAAGATGTCGAATCCAAATTTGCATCCAAATTGTTCCATTAGTGGGTGCTCGAAAGAAGTGTACCATTTGAAAGTTAATTGTAGAAAAATAAAAGTATGTTATATTTAAATGTTTATGTATACAAAAGTATGTTATTTTTAAATTTTAAAAATTTAATTTTTCCTTTTTTTTCTTTAAAGTTACGGTTCTTTGTGTTATAAGCAACTGAAAAATGAGTTTTAAGAATAACATTTTGAGTTGTTGTTATAGCAAATGAGATATGTATAATGCACATACATATTTTAATTATAACATTTTTTATTTTTTAAAGAGAGCAAAATTAAAGCAAAATATGATAAGAAATAATAAAATTATACACATTTTTTATTTTCGGAAAGTGTTATGTTTCTAGAATATGTTTGTAAAGTTTTATGTAGATAATAAAAGTTCACGGAGCAACACCAATTTAAAATTCTGTACGCGCGCGTGCGCGTGCGCGTGTGCGTGAGAGAGAGAGAGAGAGAGAGAGAGAGAGAGAGAGAGAGAGAGAGAGGGGGGAGAGT